TCCGTGAACCTGGGGCGGCCGGTGCAGGCCTGGAGAGAGCTGCAGGTGGCTCCCAAGGAGGAGGTGAGCATGCGTGGCCCCTCCCACCCCTACTCTGGAACAATCAGATCGCAGACTTTCCAGTCCTTCAAGTCTGCAAGCCCCTTCCCCCACTCCTTCCACCCCTTCCCCCCTCCCCCCCTCCCGCACAGGCGCCAGAGGGCGGGCAAGCTGGCCCCGAGGAACAGGATTGACATCCCTAGTGGTTGACTCTTGGACCATTCCATTCCAAAGCAAGCTGGCGAGGGGTAGCGGCCCGATTTGGGTGATAGGTTCCATTCCTTCTTTTAGCAGGAGAAACTGGGGGACATCTGCTTCTCTCTCCGCTATGTCCCCACGGCTGGAAAGCTCACCGTCATTGTCCTGGAAGCTAAAAACCTGAAGAAGATGGATGTTGGAGGACTCTCAGGTGCGTGCGTGTGCATGTTAGGGCTTCTACTGCTGTGATAAAGACTATGATAAAAAAAAAAAAAATTAAAAAAAAAAAAACTTGGGAGCTGGGCGGTGATGGCGCACGCCTTTAATCCCAGCACTCTGGATGCAGAGGCAGGTGGATCTCTGTGAGTTCGAGGTCAGCCTGGGCTACCAAGTGAGTCCCAGGAAAGGCACAAAGCTACACAGAGAAACCCTGTCTCGGAAAAAAAAAATTGGGGTGGGGGAAAGGTTATTTAATCTTACAACTCTTATGTCACATTCCATCACTGACAGAAGTCAGGGCAGGAACTCACACAGGGCAGGAACCTGGAGGCAGGAGCGGATGCAGAGAGGCAGAAAGGAGTCCGTTTACTGGCTTGCTCCCCATGGCTTTCTCAGCCTGTTTCTTACATATCCAGGACCATTTGTCCAGGGTTGACATTACCCAAGTAGGCTAGGTCCCCCCACATCAACCCCTAATTAAGAAAATGCCTGGCCAGGCGGTGGTGGCGCATGCCTTTAATCTCAGCATTCGGGAGGCAGAGGCAGGCGGATCTCTGTGAGTTCAAGGCCAGCCAGGGCTACAGAGTGAGTAAGTTCCAGGAAAGGCTCCAAAGCTACACAGAGAAACCCTGTCTCAAAGAAAAGAAAAGAAAAGAAAAGAAAAGAAAAGAAAAAAGAAAAGAAAAGAAAAGAAAAGAAAAGAAAAGAAAAGAAAAGAAAAGAAAAGAAAAGAAAAGAAAAGAAAAAAGAAAATGCCCCCATTGTCTTGCCTACAGGCCAATGTCATAGAGGCATTTTCTCATTTTTGGCTCACTCTTCTCAGATAACTTTGACTTGTATCCAGTTGATAACAAAAGAACAACAAACACCAATCAGGACAGGGGGTGTGTTTCTGCCTTAGGACTCTGACAGCTTCTTAACCTGGAGGGTCTCTTAGGGGACAGCAGAACCCCACACTGCTGTGGGATAATACAGAACTGATCTTATCCGGAAAGGGGGGACCTGAGGGGCTGCATGGGTGATTCTGTAGAGGTCCAAAGGAGATTCTTCACTGCTTCCACACAACCTGATCCCCAAGAGCCCAGCGGTGGGGAGTTAACGGATGCCCTTCTTCACCCCAGATCCCTTTGTTAAAGTGCACCTGCTTCAGGGAGGCAAGAAGGTTCGGAAGAAGAAAACCACCATTAAGAAGAACACCCTGAACCCCTATTACAACGAGGCCTTCAGCTTTGAGGTGCCCTGTGACCAAGTGCAGGTGAGTGCAGCCATGACCCTGCTTCCCCCGGGACAGCTCCACCACAGAAACCCCCAGGGCTGGCAGTGGCCAAGGAGCCAGGGCATCACTGAAGAAACCAGCTCCTGGGGTCTGAGGTTGTTCCTCTCCTTTTCCTCCTTTGGAGACCAGGAGGTCTGGTCTTAAAACCCGGCCTTGGGCGTGCTCTCCCCTAAGCGAGACTTGCATGGCATGCATGGACAGAAAGCCTGTCCCCAGCAAGCTCCGCCCCCAACAAGCTCAGACCTTCCAGTTCCTATAGAAAAAAGCGTTTATGGGCCACGGCACCCATACCAAGGCCTTGCATGTTTGCCCCTCTTCTGAGCCCTGATCTCTAAGGAGGCTCCTACCAAGCTCCGGACAGTGGGTCCTGTGGGCTTATCTCTGTAGAAGTTTGTTTTCAGCAGGGTGCTACGGCACATGCCTTTGATCCCAGCACTCCGTAGGCAGAGGCAGGCAGATCTCTGTGAGTTCAAGGCCAGCCTGATTTACATAGCGAGTTCCAGGCTGGGCAGGGCTACATAGTGAGACCCTGTCTAAAACAGAAAAAGAAAGGAAGGAAGAATTTCCTTTGCAAAGGAATGAAAGCTCTTGGGCACCTTTTTTTTTTTTTTTTCCCGAGACAGGGTTTCTCTGTGTAGCTTTGCACCTTTCCTGGAACTCGCTTTGGAGACCAGGCTGGCCTCGAACTCACAGAGATCCGCCTGCCTCTGCCTCCCGAGTGCTGGGATTAAAGGTGTGCGCCACCGCTGCCCCGGCTCCTGGGCACCTTTTTGTCTTTTCCAACTGCCGCTCCTCCCCGCCCCGAACTCCCGTGGCAATGCCCCTACACAGGCTGGTCGCAGGGAGAGGATGTCCTTGGCGATGACCCCTGCGCCCCTCTCCATGCCTCCTATCTCCCTTTCCCCCCACCCACTCCAGAAAGTCCAGGTGGAGCTGACCGTATTGGACTATGACAAGCTGGGCAAGAATGAGGCCATCGGGAGAGTGGCGGCGGGCGCAGCCGTCGGTGGCGCCGGCCTTCGGCACTGGGCTGACATGTTGGCCAACCCCAGGCGGCCCATTGCCCAGTGGCACTCACTGCGGCCCCCTGACCGAGCCAGGCCAATGCCCGCACCCTGATCCCCGTCAGGCAAGCACCCGACCCGGGTCCCTCGCTCCCAGCCCCTTACACGCCTCCCCACATGCCTCTCCCTACTTCCCAAATGTTGCATCCACTCCTACCTCCACATTGGAAATGTTTCTAACTTCTAGCACCAGTCCCATACCCAGAAACCGCAGTGATCTTGTGGGGAGGTGGTTAAGTCTGGCATCCCCTGCCCCAGGGTCCTACCCTCTGCTTTGACAATCAGCTGTGAAGCCTCTTATCTCCTATCTCCCAATCTCAGCTCTTCCCACACAGCTTGACCCCTGTACTGCTCCTGGGCCAAATAAATACTCAGCAGCTTGGAGACTCTGCCCCCAAGGCTCCTTGATGTGTGTGGGGGTGGGTGGGGTGGGGGGAGACAGGACACAGTAGCTGAGACCAAGAATGATGCTCACCTCCAGGCCCAAAGGCATGCCAGGCCAGAATTAACACTGAACACCTTGGACCCCCACCCAGGGAAACCCATCCATTGACCACACTAACCCATTCACATTCTTTTCCATTCTTTCCCTGAACCTAGGTTTCCTCACAAGAAGAAAACACTTGGGGTGGTAACAATTCCTGTTGTGTGACTGCTGTGAGGAGTCAGGGAGAATTCCCTTACCCATGAATTAGTCCATATGTTCACCAGCCAGGTAAAGAAAGGTTGGACCACTGAGCCACATCTCAGCCCCTCACTGGGGATCCTAGGCAGGGGCTCTACCACTGAGCCACA